CACTGACTAGGCTAGGAGCCACATGGGCACAGTTGGGATGTGCCCCTGGGGGTCAGCTTCCTCTTTCTCCCAAACAATGGGCCTCTCTTGGGTCTGCCTCTGGAGTGAGCTTTAAGTTGAGGTGCTGCTGGGCCATGCTCGCAGCTTAATGCCACTGATTCAAGGCAGCCCCAGAGCCTGTGCATGAGCACAGTAAGGTTATTAGCACAAAATATCCCTCGCAGCCCAATTGAAAATCACTGGGAATGTCAGGTTTGTTCCAGCAGCTGTCTCCAGGCTGCCAAAAACCAAGTCCAGCATTTTAGACAACACTGACACATGCATGCCTTCCTCAACTCCATGGATTTTGAGGATGCCACTGTTAATGCCATGAGGGGCTGTGATGTTTATTGCAGCACTGGAAGTTCTCCTCCCAGGGCGGAGCATGAGCTTTTTTGGTACTACAGATATCCTTTAGCACTGCAGCATCTGGGTCCCATTACGTATCGCACTGCAAAGGAGACAGTGGACAGCAGCAGATTTTTTTTAATCTAATGAAACGAGGCATTACTAAGCATGATCTGGTTACCTGGTTCCCACAGCTCAGTGTGTCTCCATGCCGGATGGATGCGGGCAGCACGTCTGCCCATATGTTGAAACTGAGCATTTCCCAGAAAGCTTCTGCCACGGAGAATTAGGGAAAAGTGATGAAACAGGGGAGGGAACAGATAGGCTTCTTTGACAGTTAATAAAACAATAAAATATACTTTCTGTGTGCCCACGTTTCCAGGGACATACCAGCAGCTGCTAGTACCCTGTCATCTGTTTTTTATTCATGGCACTGCTGGACTGTGGATAGATAATCTCTCTCTATAACTCACTCATTTCTAAACGTAATGGGAAGCTGTCAGGGAAAAACATGCTGCTCTGCCAGAAGTGGGCTGCCCGCCTCTCCACTGGGGAAACACACGGCTTTGGAGCTCCTCAGGCTGCTCAAATCCCAGTAACAGTGCTTTTTAACTGTACTGAATCTTTAATACTGGAACGCTTGTATTTCTGATGTATTTCCCACAATGGCTAGCAGAACAAGCTGCTGAAGCTGTGGGGAAATCCATCAAGTTCTCCTGGACTTTAGGCCTGCTTTAGGATGAGATGAGCCATCCCCAGAAGCTTCTCCTGGGTTATAAGAGGATTCCTATCCCCAGAATTCCTCCTCCTTCCATCCTATGGCTAACACAGACCCATAACACAACATTATTAGCAGTGAGCCCATGTGACACCAGTTAGTATTAGGGTTCATTGATCCTAGTTCAGCATATCACCTCACATAGCAGAACCTCACACCTTTTCCTCTCTCCAGCACTGCAGAAGTCTCCAGCTCTCAGATCTCAGCCCACTGCCCCAGGGGTCCAGCAGCCCACATGAAAGGGCTCACACTGATGAGAACTCCTCCAATAACTACAGGGAAGAGTGGTGATACTCTCTTCTTTCTGACATTGAATAAAAATGACCTCACACACCTTCCCTTTCCCCTTCCTTGGGGCTGTCCTTCTTCTCCCCACCTGCCCTTAGTGCTTGCTGTGCTATTCCGTTATCCTGGGAAGATGCCTTTATGTCTAATTGTGAAGAGACAGCCCTATGAGTTATCGCTCCCAGGTAAGGGCAGTGCGTGGAAGAGCAAACCATCCCTTGTGGTTAATTTGTCATCGCTCCTTAAAATACATCCAAGGAGATCAAGACAGAACTTGCACGTTGCACACACCAGAGTCATCTCAGTGCAGTTCTTTTCAGTACATGCTGTGCCTGCAACCCTGACACATGGGAAGCTCCTTCTTAAGCATCAGGGAAATGCAGGGAGGCAGTCCTGGCAGCATGAGTTGTGATCCCATGAGCTGTGATCCCTTATGCACCTCCTCACACTATCTGCAGTGCTTTTACAGAGCAGTTCTTGGTCTAGCTTCGACATACAGAGCTGCTACTGAAGTTCAGTTCTTTTCTTTTCACCTCCCCACACCACCAATAAAGCTCTCTCTTCTTGGACATTATTAGCCAAAAGTTATCCTGGAGAGAAGGGAAGGAATGATTTTGCAGCTGTGAGGCTGTAGGAGCAGTGGTTGCAGAGCCCAGACACGCATGGAAGAGTTCCTTGCTGCCGAGCCTTAAATGCAGAACATTGCACAGCACTTCAAATCAATCTCTCAGGCATAACATTGGGTCATTCTACTAATAAAGAGACACCCGTTAATAAGAATTTCTTTGATCTCTTAACTTTTGAAGAGGAAAGAAAGAAAACTGGCAGGGATCACTGCTCCCAAGTCAAGTTGGACTCTACAGAAGAGTTGCCCGCTGTAGTTGTCTGGAATCTCTAAGAGCTCGTCTGTGCTGGGACCACGACTGGGATCCTGATGATTTCTCTATGAAAGAGCACCCTTTCATTGTTCTTCATATGCATTCCTTCAGAGAAGGCCCTAAAAGTGGGAGAGAGCAGCAGGGAAATCCCTGGCCAAATAACATTGCTTGGACAATCTATACCCACCATACTCAGCCTTCACAACTCCAACCACGGGATTTCTGCTGGTGTTCAGGCCAGCTGCTACAGTTTCAATACACTCCCTATACTTCTTTTTCTGAAGCAGGTTAGATGGAGAATGCCAGGAAAGCCTGGGTAAAAAGGATGCAAGGAGCAGCGATGCCCTGGTAGGTCTCTTTGCCATGGTTCAGCTCTACAGCACAGAACACAGAAGTTCAGCTTCTGTTTTGAAAGTCACCCATTATTCCTAATTTATGTGTGTAAGATTCACAAGCTGGCCTGCAACCTTCCTGATGTATAGAATGAAGAAGGCCCTGCACCCGCTTCCAATTGATTTCCCTGCTCTCTGAGACCAGACCCCATCTTCCTCAATGTGTCTGTGACGGCAGTTTTATTAATGCAAAATGAATATCCCCCTGGAAAATGAAGTCTAGAAATTAATAATGAATTAAAACAACTTGCCACAGGCATCGCTAATGAGCTCTTTGTCTGTGCAGCTGACATGAAAGGAGGTCATCACTCAGCTGATCCCATTGTGAACAGCAAGCAGATTAACCACTAACTTCGAGACAGTAGCTGTCTGCAGCTCGCCTTGTGTCTGCTTGGGTTTTCCTGCCTTTATCCTTGCTGTGAGGGGCTGTCTTGAGGTGTCTTTGCTAGCTGGAGAAGATACCTTCCTCTACCCTCCCTCCAAAGACTTGGGTTGTGTTGAAGAGATGTGGGACTCATCCCACTGGAAAGGACAATAACCTTGCAGAGCTTAAGAAGAGAGTGGAAAGTAATCTTGGAGGGTCTGTCTGGGCTTAACTTCCCTGCTGTAAGCCTCTTCAGGAGCGCTGGCCCAGTAAATAACCTGGCACCATTCAGTGCTGGCTCTGCATCTATTGTTCTTCTGCCTTATCTTGCAAGGCAAAGGGTTATCCTCCTTTATCTGGCACTGCAGACTTGGGATGCATCTTCACAGCAAAGGCAATGGAGATTGCATGCTTGCCCAGCCTGGGAACAGGGTTGTTTTGGGAAAAGAAGGACGTGATTAAGTGGGCATGATGGCGATGAACTGATGGTTGAGCTAGATGATCTTAGTGATCTTTTCCAACCTTAATGATTCTATTTTTTAATTTTAAGATTTTAAGAGCAGCCGGGCAGGGCAGTCATGCAGTGCTAACCATCTCTCCATGGCTTTTTTAGCATCTAGCTCTCGCCCAGCAGAGATGAAGGAGCAGCTCATGGCATTTATCCAACAGGAGGGTGGCTGAAGGCTGGGGCTTCCAGCTCCTGCTCCCAACTCAATGCCTAGGGGCTGGATGCTGTGGTGAGGAAGGCAAGGTAGCCTGGACAGCCGCATAGCTGCTGCTCCATGATGTGGCTGGACATCAGGAGAGGATTTTACTGTTCGTTCAACATCTCCTTTGTCAGTGCTAGCAGGGTGAAGCCAAGAGACCCATCGCTTTTCCATATCCATGAGCAGCTTGTTTTACATCAGCCATTCATTGCTCTTTTCTGCACTCCTGTGAAAAAGAAAAGCCCAATCCATCCCTCTCCAACCTCTTATTCCAAGCTTGGGAAAATGCTTCTGTGTTTTAGGCATGCTTTTTCTCACTTTTCCCCACCTTTGCCCTCTCAGGTGAGCTGACTGGTGGCTCAGTGTCCTGCTTGGTATCATAACTACACACTTATCAAAGACTTGTGAAAGCAGAGACCCAAGGAGACAAGGGACGTGACCACAGCTCCATGCCTGGTCTGCTTCATTCAGGAGTTACAAAAGCCTGTGAAAGGCAATGCATCATGTAATGAGGACATAGCAGAAACTCCCAAGTCCTACCTAGGAAGCCTGATTTGGGAATTACAGTGAAGCTTGTTGAATCCTACCTAAGGCTGTTCATTATGCACAGCATCTTAGATATTATTTGAGGGCTGCTTTAAGCCTGTGCTGCATTTAGACACAGCTACTGCTGTGTCAGAAACCAGAACAGTGCTGGGTTTACAGACGTTTTTGGAGAGAGGTTGAGAGTCCTGCAAGGATTTGGTCTACAAATCAGGGATCTCTGACTCCAGCTGTGCCACTGCTGCTATGACCATTAGAGCTGTGGGACCCAGGACTTGTACATGACTGTTGGATATAGACAGCATCTTGTCTGGATCATGAATGAGAAACTATTTTGTTCTGTCATTTGCTTCTCGTTTGGTCCTGTCACAATCTATGCTGTGCGTGTGAGACTGGGTGTTTGTAATGTGTTTGCAGTGGTTCTTGATAAAAAGCTTTAACTACTGAAATTATCAGAGAGGCATATGTGAGCAAGTCATGGTAAGTCTGAACACTGGTAAGCAGCTGTTCATCTGTCTACAGAGACAGTGAGCACTGGCAAGGTCAGAACCACCTGTTTTCTATTTTCCTTGGAGTACCTTCAAGGATAGCATGTCCATCCAGAAACATGGTACCTTATATCAAAGTTCTCTTCATTAATCACTTTCTTTCATTTTTGTTTTCCAGCCAAAGCTTTTGGCAAAGGAGTTGCTTGACCTGGTGGCATCTCATTTCAACCTGAAGGAGAAAGAATACTTTGGAATTGCATTCACAGATGAAACGTAAGTGCAAGGAGTCAAAGACTTAAGAAGCAACTCTCAGATCAGAGCAAATCTCATTGTTGTTTGGTCCTCAACAAAATGACCAGAATAGAAGACCTGAGCACCCCAAGGTCCTAGATCAAGGTCTAGGAAGGTGTGGGTCTGTAATCAGTCTGTCCTGTGATACCTCTTTAGAAGGTAGGAATTCAGCATTGCTGGAGGTGTATAGAGGCAGTAACAATCCCTTCCTAATCCCATCTGTAAAGACTTGGTGCTTTTTGGCACTGGTGGAAGTCTAGCTTAACCTCTTTAAGATCCCTTTGCTAATTCTAAGTTCTTGTCAGGTTGGCAAAACCCTTCAGTTAAAGTGTTGATCACTCAAGCAGGTTTAGAAGTAGTGCTAAATTATTTTGAGGAAAGTGAAAGGAAAAAAAAAACAACTCACAAAATTATTCAATTTTTTTAAATTCTTTTAGATCCCAGATTAGAATTTCTCAATAAAAAGAAAGAAGAAAGCTTGAGAAAGAAAGGGATTGACAGCACTAATGTGGGCTAAAAGCACTTTTATAAGTAAGGTTTCCATCAAAAAGGGGAATTTGACCAACAGCCTTATGGCTGAGCTAAGCCACAGAATTTGATTCTGTCACTGCAGCCACCTCAGGCAGTGCTGGTTGCTCACCTAGAACCTTGGCTCCCAGAGCTGTTCACAACAGAACTTGAGCTTTTGTCCTAAGACAAGACATTTCTACCAACACCTTGTTTAAAAAGTATGTCTAAAATTAGAACTGGATAAATATTCAAGGTCTGGCAAATGCTACAACAGGTCCCAGACTGTAATCTCTCAGTGCTATGCACAGTCCCTGTTCCTTTTCCCAGCTGCCTATTCTCTGTAGTTAGACTTTTCTCATGACAGCTGTGCTCTCTAATTCCATCCGCTGTCCTCCACCTTAGTTTGCATTTTCTGTAAGATGAACCAAGAGGAAGACCCACTTTTTTTTTAGGACTGCTTTTGCAGTCCTAAAAAGCAAGAATGTCAAGCCCATGGGTTGGGTTCCTGGGACAGCTGAGCCAGCAGTAATGCTCTCATTAGCCATCTCCACTCTCCTGCTGAGGTGGCGGAGAAATTTAAATTATCTGCTGGAATAATTATTTTGGATTGAGTAATTATCCAGCTGCTGGATAATTGCACAGGCATACCCACAGAGAGTTCAGCAGCAATCACCCCTCTAGAGACAGTCCCTTTGGCAAGCACCTGCCTTGGACAGCCTGAGGCCACCTCGGGACACGGTTTGTTGTGTGGAAGGATGCTCGGTGTCAGACACATGCAGCAGCAGGACCCAAAACACAGGAGATCCCAAGGAAGATGCCATCTCACTGACATGAGCAGCTCAGCCCTGTAGTAGATCTCCAACCCAGTACAAATCAGTGAGATTTGTCCTCAAAGGAGGAGCAGGAGGAACTTTACACAGATCGTAAATGCATAATATTTCCTCCTCTACTGTAAAAAGCTTTGAAGATATAGCAATTATTTTATTTGAACGTGGCAAAAAAATGTACTTAGGACGTAGGAGTTGGTCTTAGAAAAGAATGTCCCACATCACCTTCAGAAAGTATACTGGTCTGTATGTACCACAGATCTTAACCTGGAAGTAAAAGAAATTCCTTTCTTCAAAATTGGGAAAACGATCTCCTACTGTTTGTTTGCAGAGTACCTAATGCAGTGTTATACCTGATGTAGACCAGAAGCACAAAGAGAAAGCTTTGTGACGCAGGCCCTCGGGGATTTTCATCTCTTTGTTCATCCTATTCCGCTGAGTTTTCATGTTCTTTCCTTGAAAGAGACCCATAACCAGCTGAAACAGGACAAGCCTGGTTCATAAATGCAGTCTGGGGTTGGCTACATTGCGAGTTCAGGAAGAAGAAAAGCCACTAAAGTATTAAATCAATTCTTCTATTTAAGAGTAAAAGCTCTATAAGAGTAATTTATTTAGAAATGATTTGTACTGGGGATTTCCATTCATTAGTTGTGCTCTATCATGACAACCTGAGAAGAAAATCAATAGGAACAACCTTTGCGTTGGCGACTTAATAGTTTCTTGTGATAATATAGGGTCATTACTGCATTCAGTGTGACTAAAATTAGATTGTCAGACTATTACAGAGGAGAAAATAACGCCTCCTATTTTAATGATCATAGGAAGGCTTTATATGGCATGAGCCATTAACTGAGGGAGAGCACAGGTCAAAAGGTTGTCCTTGAATAGCATGTGGGGCCAAGCTTCTAGTGAAGCCAGAAGATCTATATAGTAGTTGATTAAGAGTGAAAAGAGGTGGGGAACAAGCCTTTTTCTAATTCAGCTGAGTGCAAATCTCTGCTAGCTGCCCTTTCCCTTGGCACCAGCTCTTCCAGCATTCCAAGAGAGCAAGTCAGAGCAAGTCACAGCAAGTTCTCCTTCTGTTCACCGCAGAAGGCCCCTCTGGGCTAGGGACAAGTCTGCCATGTCCTTTGCTCATCCTTAGACATGTCACCTGCATCACAGAGAACTATCAGCTTCTGCACTGCACTGCTCCCCCTGCTATGCATTTAGCTGCTGAAAATCATTTTGCTGTCTGTCCTTCCTTTGCCAGAACAAAACAGGACTGAGGCCTTAACTATTTGTGTTAGACTTGTGCTAGAGACTGCAGTAACTTGATAACACCAGAGAGTGCCCTTACTCCGCTGAGGATTCTATGTCCTAGGAGACAGCAAGGGAAGAATATGAGAAGAGGAACAGCAGGGCACCACATCTCCAGGATTTGGGAGAAAAACCTGTTTCCACCCTCCAGCAATACAGCAAACCGAGAACTAGGGAGCAAGTGTCCCAAGTCCTGGCTAAGCAGACTTCCCAGTGGGTGGTGGAGCTCTTGGAATGATGTCCTGCTCTGGCATGGGACCATTTCCATTGTCACTGAGCCCATTGTTTGCCTGGTCTGTATAGTTAACCTCACATAGCTCCCCGAGCTCTGCAGCTCCTTCAGAAAAATATTTCTGTTGAAAGATCAAGACCTTAAATGAGAAAACCTGTGAACGTATAGTTGTTGGGTTTTGTTTCTGTAGTTACTGATGGAAATGGAAAATAGCATATACGGTTTCTATTACTTGATTTGGTCTTTTTCAATATCCATTCAGTTCAGCATGAGTTTGACACTAAAGGGGTGTGAGGTGCTGTATTTATTCCAAGTGTCTTTGCAACACAAATTTATATAGATTCCCTTTGCAGGAAACTGGACATGAACCAGTAAAACTTTATAAACAGATCCACCTGGAGGCAAAGTATTCATTGATGCACTGCTCCTTTTTGAAAGCTCTGACAAAAGAAAACAGAAACTACTGCCTGCAACTGACAAAACAAACCTTGGGCACCAAAATCCATACTTACTCTATAACCTAAATGTACCCGGTTACTGTTTCTAAAAACAATTATGTTTTTATAATTGACACATCAGTTTAACTGCCAAGACAAACAACAGAGAAAAATGATAGAGCTTCCAATATTCAACCTCCTTAGAGGTCACGCAAAACTGTTTGCACCATTGTTTGTGAATACACTGACATAAATACCTAAATGAACAAATCAATGGAGATAATGAAACAAAAGCTATTTTGTGGCTGTAAATTGAACTGTAAGGGAAATTCAACCAGGGACAGGCATGCATGAATGGGATCCAAAAGCAAGCTGCCTAAATTGGTCTGTGAGAACTGCTGGGATTAATACATACCTAGGGTTATATGCCACACTTTTCCATGTCTTACTTGGGACTGTGCTCCATGAATAGTCCTGCTGAAGACAGCAAGACAGCTTCCAGAGCAAAGTGTTTTGCGGTGTTAAAGCGCTGGAGTTTGGCTCCCTGATAGACCACATTCACAGATGCCAGTGACTGTTCACTGCTGCTGTTCTGTATGTGGCACACACGGATGCTAGAAAACAAGGAGTTGGATGACAGTATGCAGTGCAGAAGCCCTTAGTGATGAAAGCTTGTAAGTGGTAATTGAGTACAGTGAGCAATTAGCTCCTGGCAGTGATTTAAGTGACCTTCCTCCTCTGAAGGAGCTTTAGATTTATGCTCCTTGCAGCAGAGAGTAATGAAACCCAAAAACTCAGTGGACACACGTGTAAGCTGGTATGTCGATGTATATGCAGATATTCTTTTTGTATTGGCTGTATCACTCACATTAAAATGCAGTGAGATTGAAAAGAACAAGTTTTGTTTTTTTTTTTTCAAAATACAAAATATTTTGAAGGGAACTTGCTTTGTGCACCACAGTGTCTCAATACCTTGTTGCATGTGTTAGGCAAACCCAGACACTTCTGTTGTTGAACAGTATGCTCATTGTTAACAAATTTGTCTCAGTAGGAACCTATTTGTAATGCCATCAGCCACTGCTGGCTGCTGCTTTGGTGATACAAATGCAGATGGACAAGTTCAGGATAGGATGTCAGTCTTAGAGTGTTGTCCCTTTGCTCTGACAGTGTGTCACACCTTGGCCTACATAGGCAGATGGCCTAGATAGATGATCAATCTGGACTTTGGGTAGGAGCAGGTGAGCATGGATCGTTCCTGTCTCCATGTGTAGTGCAGCCTTCACAATTAATTTCACACTTCCTGAGTCCCCTTAGGGGGACATAATGAGACTTCAGGACCCAAGGGAACAGCATGGAGCTGCTATCGGGGAGGGCCGGGTGAGTGTTAGGAAAAGGTTCTTCAGCAGAGGGTGTGAACACAGAACAGGCTCTGTAGGGCAGCACCAAGCAGGGCACAGGTGATGTCCCAGTGGTCTCCAGCCCAGATCTGCCTGGTCCCTGCACTGCCCACCCTCTTCTGCATTAGTGTAAGCCAGAGCAGCTTTACAGAAATTCAGATGGAACCCAGGTGATCCAAAGCCTCCTACTTTCCCTTTTTTTTTTTTTTTTTTGTAGAAGAAATCTGGTTGCATTGTAAAGGGCTGTCGTTGCTTAACTTCCAGGGGCGTTTCACATTGCCCAAAGTACACACTGCTGCTAAGGAGCAATGAGCAGACCCTTGGGAAAGCTGAGTGTGTTTGCTGACAGGGAATGTTACTAACACTTGTGGAATCACTAGCACTTAATTTAACACTTTTTTTTTTTTTTTAATGAAGCCTCTATTTTTTCATTTTGGTGGAATGAAGAATTAATCTTGAGGATTAGCATGAGCTGGCAGACAGGCCATGGAATAGAGCTCAGGACATCTGAATTCCATTTCCTGCTTTATTTGCTGCATGATTCTCCCCAAAATTGCTTCAATTCTCTCTCCTCTCACTTGTCTAGACAGCAGAGTGCTGAAGGCATGGGCTGCTTCTCCCTCTGGGTGAAATCTGGTCTGACTGAAATCAATAGCAAAATGCTTGCAGGATGCAGCCCCAGCATCACTGAAGGCAGCAGCACAATTCCTGCTGACTTCAGTGGGTCCTGAATTTCACCCTATGTATTTCCACAGCACCTAATTTAAGAGGGTCTTTTTCTCAGCTGGGGAATGAGATGCCCCTTTAATACAAATAATGGTGTTTACAAAATACTGCTCACACACACACAGCACTTTACAATGCGTGGAACATGACAAAGAACAGAGCTGCTGCCCAGGAAAGCTTCCAGCTGCAAGGCACAGATGGATAAATTGTAGGAGAAAATAACAGCGACAGGTATCATCTAGGCAAAAGAAGAGCAGCATGTGGTAATTGGAGCTGGAATGCTTTGTGGAGCAGCTGTTTTTCAGGAGCTCTCTGAAGGAGGAAAAGCAAAAGCTGGGCTAACCTAGAGAGGCTACAGAAAGCATGTGGGTGGTAAATAAACTGTCTGGGTCTGTATACAGACAGATTTAGCCTTGAGTGAAATATTGCAGGCATTGTGGAAACTCTTAACGGTAAGGATTTCTAATGAAAATCTTGACAGACTTTTAATGATACAGCTGCTCAGGGGGGTTGTAATAAAAAGGTGAAGCTCATAACATTTTGGGCTGTCCTGCCTGGTCGATGCTGCCAGCTTTCAATCTGACAGATTGAACTTTAGCTGTTCAGTTCTCAGACTGAAATGTTGCCAGGATGCTATTGCCTCTATTCCTCAAACATTTGCTGTGTGTTTTCCAAATACCATGCAGTAGCTAAGGGCAAACAGCATGTACTCCAGTTCATCTTTTGTAACACCCTGGACCTCACTGCAAAGAGCAGCAAGAAGTGTCTTCGGTGGTGGGCTCACATCTGTCTCTTTTCTTGCCAGGGGACACTTGAACTGGCTTCAGCTGGACCGCAGGGTGCTGGAACATGACTTCCCCAAAAAGTCAGGACCAGTTGTTTTGCACTTTTGTGTCAGGTAAGTGCATGACAGCAAACTCGTCCCATGGGTCATGGAATCATAGAACTGTTTGAGTTGGAAGGGACTTTTAAAGGTCATCTAGTCCAGCTCCCCTATAATGAACAAGTACACCCACAGCTAGACCAGGTGCTGAGAGCCCAGCCCGGCTACCAATATAGGTATGGATGAACTGTTTGCTAGAAGCCAAGAAGCAGGTCTGTCCATTTGTCACACCTGTAGACAAGTAAACACTTTATGGAAGTTCCTTGTGATCTCCTCATCCTTGTAAACTCCTCTGACACAAGTGTAAATTAGCAGTAATAATATCAACACTAGTATAAAGTGAAGATCAGATGTTATGTCTTTCATGGATTGGTGGTTTTATTTATGAGTTTTGGAAAGTCTGAGCTGGGCAGGACCATGGGACGAAGATTTCTTTCTGCTGGCACAGCCAACTGAAGGGAGGGCACTCACTTCTTCACCAAGCCAGCCATTTCTCCTGGATTGTGCCTGATCTGTGCACTGTATCAGGGACCAAATAAATCCTCTTATAACGTCATCATTGATCGATTTCCGGGTTCAACTACAATGTGGTGTAATGAATAATCTCTAGTGACCAGTCTGGCTTCTGCATGTGTGTAAAACATACTCACAGACTGGAGTAGAAGATTTTAATGAAAATTATGCCAGTTTGGGAGAATTTCTTTTCATCTGTGGCTTTTGCAGCAGCTGTTTGTGTTAGGTAATGCTAGAAAGCTGTTGGCGCTCTTCTGTATATGGCATCTTTGCCCTCAAGGGAGATATTTTCTGAGAAGACAAATCTGCCCTTGCAACTTTAAGACACCCCAAGAGAGGCTGGGGGTGGGATAGCATATGTACAAAATTAAGTTGGGGGTTTTGACTTACTTTTAATGTATAGCTCATGTCTAGAACTAGCCAGTGCAGCGTTACTGTGTCTTTTTCTGTTAGCCTTTCCACTCCAATATTATATTACATCTGACATCACTCTCATTCATTCCATCGAACCCATAAAAAATGAAGACTTACTTTTGAATTTCTTCCCCCAAGTGCAGCTTTTTTTCCTGCAGAGTGATTGTCATTCATTTAACTCCAATTACAACGAAGGATTCTCAAGAGAAGAGACTCTTTGTTCTATTATATCCCCATTTTTGCACAGAGCCCCATGACTCCAGAACCAGTCTGCTGAGTCCCACAGGAAGAGGTTTCTCTACTACACTTTGGATGTTTCAAACCGTAAGGGTAGATCCAGAGCTGAACATTTCTACTGTTTGCAATCCAGATCGACCTGTGTTTAGGCCTGCACAGAACTGAAGGAACTTTTCTGAAAGTGTATTAGACTGATAGGCAAATTAAAAAAAATAAATAAAAAATAAAGAATGTAGGTGCTCTGATATCAAGCATCTTGCCTGGAGGCCAAACTGAGGAGTTCATTGCTAGGGCAGTGGTCTCATGGAAAGCAGAGAAGTCTCTGACTGAGCAAGAGCTAAGTGCAGATTTCAGGAGTACAGCTGTGAGGTGTGAAAGCCAGAGCTCCAGCATCATTCTCATACTCATTTCAAAGACCACTCAACGGGCATAAATATTGCCATCTGTATTGTTCTATGGGAGTTGGCAGCAAAATGGGGACAAGTCATTCTAGTGGGATCTTAGCCAAAAGACATCTTAGAAGTATGGATCCATATAACAGTTAGAAAATAAGTGACCTCTCCTGTTCCAGAATCAAAATCTGTAAGAGAAAACCACAGGGGAAAAATCAGCATTTAGTGGTTGAAAAGAAAAGTGTGAAATAGCACACTGAGTTTGGATTTATACTCTTATTTTTGATAGTAGTGATTGGATTGTCACGATTAGAAGGCCGGATGCCTCATGAGTTAGGAATGGGCATTCACTTAAATTGTTTTTTCTACTGCTTTTCCTTCCCTGAGGATATCAGGCGCTAGAAAGACACTGAAAAAGCTTCCAAGCATGTAATAAGTTCCCACATCCACCCCCAAATCTGATCTGAGCAGAAGGCAATTGGAGAAGAAACTGATCCTGAGCAGCTGGATGAAATTGGAAAAGCCTCACATATCTTTCACCCAGTGGTTTGACTTCTGGCTTCAGAACTAATGCCAGGACTGGAGAAAAGGTTGTGAAGAGAGCAACCAGTTTTGATAGTCCAGGGGTGCACAGTGGCTTACAAAACCATCCATGCCCAGATCATAAACAAAAATGACCTGCCACCATGATGTGGAAAGCAGAGATAAGTAATGCTGTTCCTTAAAGAGTTAGAAATGTGATAATTTTTAAGGAATCAGGTGTCCATGAATCCTACTACATCATTGGTAAGGGGCTACCTGTGCCTGTAGGTACATTCCTCGCATTGCATGTCTCAAGAACTGTAGCAAGGAGAGCTTAGCTTGGAGCCAGGAGTCCCAACTGGGGAAAGAGTAATTCAAGTAACTAGATGTGCCAGATGTTCTTTGCAGAGCAAACTGTATCAGGATTTAGTAATCATGTGGGGTTTTTCTTCAAATCTAAGTAAATGTACAAATCAACCACACTGGGTAACAACTGAAGACATGAGGCCTCAGGCAAGAACAGTAAATGGTAGTTTGTGAAAAGGAGAACCTATGCAGGAACAGTTTTCACCTTTTATGTGACTATCAGATTGATTTTAGCCTTAACTTGCCTGCAGCACTGTTGATGGGCAACATGCCTGCCATTGAGATTACACTAAATATGCATTTAAGCCAAAACACACCTTTTAAATCAAGGTTTCTTGGAAGAACCTTGATGCAAATAAGAAATTCCACAAGCTTCACAGAGTGAAATTCTCCTCCCTTCCTAAAATCTCTGTAGCACTGTTAAAGCTTTGTCTTTTGTCACACATTTCCTTTGATTTTGGTATTGCTGAGCACTGACGTCTGGTGTCTTTACTCTCTTCTGTAATTGAAGACCAAAAATTTCATAGTGCTACCAAAGGAGGGTTTTATAAGGACATCCTTAGCATTAGTTCAGAGAGCAAGGCTACTGCCCTCAGACACTTGCATAACTAACTGTAGCCTCTCTTTTTGTTGTCATCTAGTGCTTCTCTGGATCTTTCCACTGAGAACAACACAGGAATCTAGGAAGCAATCCCGGTTGCTTGGGCAGCTGTGAACTGGACCATGGCAGTTGTGCACTACTATTTTATGAGACTTTGCTAGTATCTATTGATATGGTTTTAAAGCTGTACATGAAAGCAAGAGGGAGTGCCATGTGTCTTGCAGGGGAGGTAGGACAACTGACAATGAGATGGGAGTGCTGTTAGTTCTCATCTCTGAATTAGCTTCTTGGGTGGCTTTCACTTGATTGTGGGTGAAATTCATTCCCTGCTTCCCCTTTGCGATAAAGGAATGAGGGGTTGTTTGACTGATTTTACAGGAGTGTTCTGAGATCAGAGGAGGACAGTGAAACTGTACCTCACAACATGAGCTGCACAGCAAAAGGCAGGAACCTAAGTAAAGAGCAGAGACCCAGGCAGCAAAGAGGTCAAAGGAAAGCAAAGGTATCAGGGGTTCAGATAAAGGTTGCTATGCTTTAGACAGGAAAGGAGGCATTTTGCTCTGGTTCACATGGGCAGAAGAAAGGCAAAATTTCTCCTTTTGTATAAATCTTTGAAGTGAGAAAGGACTGGAGCACAGTCATGCTGTTTGTTCACGGAAAGCAAAGTTGGCTCAGCTTTGCAGTAAATTCTCATCCTCAAACAATGGCCTTGTGGGATTAGCAATCTTTAGCTAGGGAACCATCAGCATGAGTCTGATTTCTTTATCTTCTGGGTGTTTGTCATGCTGTTACTTTATATGAACAAGCTCAGCAAATAAAATTCACTTCACTGGTGGATCTTCTCCTAGGAATGCATGTACCCATTCTCAGGATAGCTCCACCAGTTAGACAGTGACAGCTCACTGCAGAAGTCGTCACGCTGGATCAGTGCTACTCTCATGTAGAATGGCTTTTCTTCCAGAAAGTCAGGAAAGAATGTTAAGTAAATCTTCAATACTCAAATACGCTGCGGGGCAGTGAATTTGTCTCTATGGCCCTGCAGTATTCCCACTGAGGAATGTCTGCATCCAGCAACATCTGGCATGTGTTCATATACACTGGCCAAGCTGAAGTCAGCATAGGAGCTGTAGGGGCTCAAGTCCCTTAATACTGAACCCAGACCCTCTGCCATTTCACCACAGTTACTAGAGAACATAGTGGCCTTAAGACGCCAGCACTGGAACACAGGGTGCAACACTGCTGTTCACTTTAACCTGAAGGAATACAGCTTTGTGTGCACCATCCATGGCCTCAATCTAAGGCAGGTGGGAAGAAGTCTGAGATGGGACTCCCCTCAACAACCTGAGACATTTATCTGGTCAACTATTCTGTATGAGGATTGATTACCAGAGCCTCTTCCCAGTAATAGGCACTTTTTAGGAACAATTCCTCTGACCTGATTCTAGATGACTACTTTGGAATTCAGTAAGTCATACTCTAAAACAGCTACTTCACTTCCCTGATTGTATCTGCCTCTTCTCATCTGCTGAATCTTCAATGTGTACTACAACTGCAGCCTATAAATTCGGATTATGGTTGGCCTAGACAGGGCTGAGGAGATGTTCTCTATCTGCAGAGCTCTGCCTGGCTACCTGGGTAGAAATGGACCTCTTGAAGGACTTTTCTAATCTTGGTGATTCTATGATTCTATGAAAAGGACTAATGTTAAAAATAAAAGGAACTGTAGTCCATTTGGAAATAACAAACCCTGGAAGAAAGGGAGACACTGTTTGCTAATGCAGATTGTACATAGGGCTAGATGGATCTTACAGCTGGCTGCCAAAATACACTGCTGCCTTCTGTATTAGCCAGAAGACATGTATGGGGTGTAGTTCCATGGAATGCTGCTCACAACCTGCCCACTTCACTCACACACCAATGCTCTGTGTGCCACACTCATTTCCAGCCAGCTCCACTTGACCCCAAGAAAT